ATAATTAACATTTAAAAGTCATGACACCTGTTGAAAGTATTAGAAACTTTTAGGGTGTAACTGGCTTTAATGCAGACCTTGCCTAAAAAAGCATTAGTGATAACACATATCAGTGCTTAAGAACAATGGTGTCCATGTTTTACACGTTTCTCTGCCTTGACACACCTGGTTTAAAGATCAGAGACGTGTTGAAGGTGACATCTGAAACATGCAGGATAGCAGCCCTCGAGGTCGTAGATCGGCCTCAAAGCTACAAATAATATTTATGGAATTGTTTTATTTCAACACCGTGAGAAGAAAAGCTGTTTTAATTTCTCAAGGTGAAAACAATTTCTTCCCTATTTTAAAAGCTTCTTTTTAAAAAAAATATGAGTCTGATTGTTTGACATTATGTTCCAAAAGCGTTTACAATTTAGTTTTGTTCTTCTCGATCTGAAGCATCTTGTCCTCGTCTTTTCCTCGGACAGATTGGTTTCCTCCTGCCTGCCAGAACCCGACCGAAGGTCTCAACTCCTCCGTCTTCCACAACGTCAGCGTCTCCACCGTCATGAGGTGCGAGGGGAAGCAGAAGTGCTCGCTGCAGCTGAGGGTCCAAACTGTTGTTCAGCTTTCTGGTGGGTAAATGAGATGGCTTTAAAATAAAAATAAACTATTAAGTAAGGATTTAGAATGCAGGACGGTGCAAAACGCTAGCCAAACGTAGCACAACACTAAATAAAAGGAGCTAAAACTAGTTACAAGTTAAAAAGCAAAGGCTTAGCTAAAAGTGGCAAAAAAGGCTAGTTGAAGCCCAAAAGTAGCCAAAGAGGAGTTCAAAACTAAAAGCAGCAAAACGCTATTTAAAAGGAGCACAAAACTAGTTAAAATTTAAAAAGCAAATGGTTAGCCATTAGTAGCAAGAGGCTAATTAAAGGCCAGAAGTTAAAAGCGGCAAATTTAAAGCTAAAAGCAGCTAAATGCTAGCTAAAATCAGCAAAACATTAGCTAAAAGAAGTTCAAAAACTAAAGTTCAAAAAAGCAAATAATTAGCTAAATGTAGCAAGAGGCTAGTTAGAAGATGAAACCTGCTAAATGCTAACTGAAATCAGCAAAAGGCTAGCCAAAAGTAACAAAACACTAGCTTAAAGGGAAAAAAATAGCTGGAAGCTGAAAAATCAAAGGATTAGCTAAAAGTAGCAAGAGGCTAGTTAAAGGTAAAAAGCAGCAAAACACTAGCCAAGGATAGCAAGATATTAGTTTAACACCCCAAAAGCTAAATGCTAGACAAAAGCAGCAACAGGTTAGCTAAAATCCATTAAATAGTTGCTAGCAAAACATCACCTAAAAGCATAAGATAGCTAGGTAAAAGTAGAAAAAGGATAGCTAAAAGTAGCAAATTGGTAGCCAGAAGCAAAAAGTTGCAAAGATCTAGTTAAAAATGGAAAAGGTTAGCTAAATAAATGGCTAGGTGAAAGTGGCAAAAGGCTGGTTGAAGGCCAAAAGTAGCCAAAAACAAGGTCAAAACTAAAAGCAGCAAAACACTGTCTAAAAGGAGCACAAAACCAGTTAAAAATTAAAAAGCAAATGGTTAGCTATTAGTAGCAAGAGGCTAGTTAAAGGCCAGAAGTTACAAGTGGCAAATTTAAGCTAAAAGCAGCTAAATGCTAGCTCAAATCAGCAAAACATTAGCTAAAAGAAGTTCAAAACTAGTTAAGTTCAAAAAAGCAAATAATTAGCTAAATGTAGCAAGAGGCTAGCTAGAAGCTGTAACCTGCTAAATGCTAACTGAAATCAGCAAAAGGTTAGCCAAAAGTAACAAAACACTAGCTTAAAGGGAAAAAAAAGCTGGAAGCTGAAAAATCAAAGGATTAGCTAAAAGTAGCAAGAGGCTAGTTAACGGTTAAAAGCAGCAAAACTCTAGCCAAGGATGGAAAAATATTATTTAAACACCACAAAAGCTAAATGCTAGACAAAAGCAGCAACAGGTTAGCTAAAAGCCATTAAATAGTTGCTAGCAAAACATCACCTAAAAGCATAAGATAGCTAGGTAAAAGTAGCAAAAGGATAGCTAAAAGTAGCAAATTGGTAGCCAGAAGCAAAAAGTTGCAAAGATCTAGTTAAAAATGGAAAAGGTTAGCTAAATAAATGGCTAGGTGAAAGTAGCAAAAGGTTAGGTAAGAGCTGAAAGTATCAAATTGGTAGCTAGAAACAAAGTCATAAAGGAAGAGTTAAAGTAGCAAAAGTCTAGCTGAATGTTACACAGGTCTAGCTGAGAAGTGTTTGTAGCAGAAGGCTAACTAAAGGCTAATCCTCTTTGTGGGAGGAATATGTGAAGTATTGCACGTGTAGCACAAACAATGATGGTGCTGAAAGGAGATCCTGAAAAGCTTTTTGTTATAATTCCAGTTGTCAGAAGAGTTCTTTCACTGCCTACAGATTACTTGTGATCTCAGTTTAGATGATTTTTGTTGTAGTTTCGCATTGCCTGTATCGAGACAGTAAATAGAAAATTTAGCTTTTACAAAACAAAAAGACTTGTTTTAACATGTGGGGTTCAGGAAGGCGCTTTCGAAGGAAATCCTCAAAAGTTCAGGGTGAAGACGCACAAAGCCTCCAGTTAGAGCTTTTAAACTCCACACAAAGATTAACCAGCTGACCATGCATGGATGGTTTTAAGAAACACTTCTGCTTTTTAAAGTTGTGCACTCACTGGAACAAAGAGAAGAAGATTGTTTGCGTGTATCTTCCTGTTGCATTTTCTTTACGTTAAACGTGCAGATGTGCCTGGTTAGTTTAATGGCAGCTATGACGATTCAGTGTCAACGTATATCCGTAGCTGTTTTTGTGTGACTGAGTCATGACGTCTGAACTGTGTTTGCACTTTGCATCCAGCAAAGAGGCGTTAAAGCTTTAATAACTCAAACAGGAAACTTTAAAAGCAGATTTTTAGGTCTGGTGAAGCGAACGTAGTCACGTCTATGAGTAAGGTTTGATGACACATTTAAACATGTTGAGTCTCATTTTTCAAACCAGTCTTCCTAATCAAAACTTCAGCATTTGCATTTTTAATTAATTGGAAGTTTCTGTTCCTGATTAGATTCGCATTAGAAACAACCGGTGCAGATCCTTACTTCTGTATGGGATTCTGAGCCAGCTTCGTAGAGTTCCTCAATCATTGGCTAGAGCGGGGAAATCCCCTCCGCCCTTAATGAGACCGTAGCTTAATTATTTATGAACTTGTCACAAACTCTTCCTTCTTTCATAGACATTTTCCATTACAGCAGACTGCCAGCRGGTGAAGAGTCGCTGCTTTACAAGCTGTTAGCGTGAGCTGCTTTCTAACTGATTTGGGGCGTTTTGCGCTTTTTTTTATTTCTCCTGCAGAGTCGATCCACGGCGTGACCGTTTGCACCACCAGCGCAGGAATGATGGCAAACTGCCAAAGCATCGGCTTCACAAAAACATCGAGAAAAAAACTGTCCGGATTTCTGGTAATGYCGGTTAAAATGAGCTGTTTTGCAGCTTATTTAACTTCAGAATTATGACATCATAATGTTTTTTTTTTCCTCCTCACTGTCGAGTGAGCTTAATCAAATTTAAAATGCCTCCAGCTGTCTTTACTGGCTGTTGTGGTTATTAAACCGTTTTGTTTTTTTGTTATTTTTCTCCTCCCTGTTTTGTTCTTTTCTCATTATGTAGGTAACAGTTGAGAACGATTGCACTGAAGTGTCTACAAATCAGCAGCTGCAGGTGACAGTAAAAACGGTGCCAAATTACTGCAACCTTTCTTGGACGAGCACCTATTACACTCCTGGTAAGAACGAACACTGTCAGTAAAACATAGCAAAAAAAAAACAAAAAAAAAAAACACACACTTTAAAGGTTAACTCACACAGAAGTGTGTCATGTATATTTTTTGCAACCTCTCCAGAAAAAAATTTCCTCAATGACAACACCGTGAGCCGGAAAGATTCTGTTGCATTTTCAAAATAAGAGATGCGGGAAGGTGCATGAGTCATCCAGGAACTTTGAAAAGAACCGGCATTTTTTTGTTTGTTTTTAAGGAATGTGTTTCGCCCATCTACCTGTCGTTTCAGGTCAAGATCGACGCGTGTTGCCAAAAAGTGGTGCTCAGACCACCTTACTTGTTTTATTTATTTACTCATATGCGACACAGGTACAGCCGTGTTTTTAAAATTCAGAGTAAAAAACCAAAACCCTTTGATCAATTTTTATTATAAAGGAAACAATTAAAAAATGCATTACTTTTTAATCAATCCAAAGAAAGTGAAGGAAAATAAACACAGCAGTGTCTGCACTGCAAAAACTGTCCATTTTACCAAGTTTTAAAATCTCATATCAGCCCAAAAAAGTCTTTTTGATCTTGTTTTGAGACTGATTTACTAAACAAGAACTGATTTTGTAAGAATAATAATCTTGTTTTCAGAATATGTAAGATTATTTGTCTTATTAGTCTGAACATTTGACTCAAATTAARTYAAAAATTTCTGCCAATGAAGTAAGAAAATTTTACTTGGTAAGATTCTTGAAATACTTGATTTGACTCAATTTTTTCTTATTGCAAGAATCTTACCAAGTAAAATCTTCTTACTTCATTGGCAGAAATTTTTTTACTTAATTTGAGTCAAATTTTCAGACTAGCAAGACAAATAATCTTACACMTTCTGAAAACAAGATTATTATTCTTACAAAATCAGTTCTTGTTTAGTAAATCAGTCTCAAAACAAGATCGAAAAGACTTTTTGGCTGATATAAGATTTTAAAACTTGGTTAGATGGACAGTTTTTGCAGTGTGCATTTATCTATACAAAATCAAAATATTTACTGCAGAAATAGGAAAATCTTTAGGGTTTATCATTCCTGTAAATCACTCAGTTAATATTCATCTGTACATCATCGGTTTACGAGAACTGCTTCACAGCTGTGTTGCGTGTGAAACAGGATGATCATTAGTTTTGTCGCAGAAACAATTTTTTTATGTCAGAATAAAGTTGGAGGATTGAGCTGGCCACGCCCTAACTTTAATTTCATTGGTCCGGAACCAAGATGTCGCTCACTTAATGGTGTTTTTGGGGGTTGAAATGCCCGTTTTAAGGGGGATTTCCTCTTCAACGTGAGACATCATGACCTCTTCATGTATTTTGATATAAGCAAACTGATTTATAATCCCTTGTAAATAGGGGATCTGTTGACAAGCTGTCTGCAGTGCAGCCCTTGGACCCCTCTAGTACTTMGACTCAACCGTATATCTTTGATGTCRCATTTCATCAAACTTGCGTGWCTGAAATYGACAGGAGATCRATCCAGGTCCAGTTTACATCTCACAACTTCACGTCTTCAGTAGGGCTGTGTATTGGCAAGAATTTGGCGATACGATACATATTATAACAGAAGGGTCATGATACGATATATCCCGATATATTGCGATACTGTAAGCAAGGCAATATATTGCGATTTTTTTGGCCAAAAAATATATTAAATAAAACCCTCTTACTGGAAAAAAAAAAAGAAAAGCTAATGTTTACTTACAGTGCTAATGCTACCCTTACTCTCTGGCGCTCAAGAGGTAGAGGAGCCAAATGGCTGGCTCACTGCTGCCAACTAGTGGTCAGAGGCTGAACTACAACATAAAAATGAACGGTTGGCAAGAARGTTGACATTTTAAACCTTAATTAAAAATCGATACAGGGCTWTAGAATATCWATACAGTATCGGGAAAGGAAATATCGCGATATTTCAGTGTATCGATATTTTCTTACACCCCTAGTCTTCAGCTACAGAACAGCTGCTTCAATAGGTTCTTCACCCTGTTGGGGTAAAACATTTGGAGATGTCCTCTCTCTGCTACGAGGGTTTAATTCCCTGGATTTTAGGGTGTTTTTTTTTCCTCGTGTATTTTTTTTACGCTTCTAAATGTTTGACGTTTCTTTACAGACTGCACAAATGAAGCTTTGAGGAAAAACGTCCCAGAATGCATCAGTGAGTACTTTTCTTTCTTTTTTTATACACTTTATGTCCTTTATTATTCTACTGAAATGGTTTCACATTTGTTTACATCAGCTGGTTTTAAGCGTGTAATCTTGGTTGCATGGAGCCTAAATAACAGGGGTAGATGATGCTGTTGCTAACACAGGAAAAAAAAACAACAACTTAAGTATAAGATAAACAAAACCAGCTGCCTTGGTCCATTACCATATGACACAACAGGCTTCTTGATTTGTTTTTTAGTTGGGTGGGTTACATCTGTGCTTTCATGGGGATGAAGATGGAGGTGGAGGCAGAATTCAGGGCATGAAAGAAAAAATGTCAAGTTGTTACGTTACASATGGCAAATCCAAAGATTTAAAACACCAAACAGAGACAAGTCAGAACCTGACTTGGCTCCTTTAGACTTTTACTGGGTGAAGAACAAAGACAACGTGTAACTGATGACAAACAGAAGGTGATTCTACTTTAAAGGAAGTGTGACTAAGCTGAGCAGAAATCAGTAATAGAGGTCAGGAACAAAGGTGAGGGAGTGAGACTAATAAACCAGGAAACAAAAGTGACAACGCAAATTAAACTATTAAACATTTGTTTCCATAATTAGATCCTAAAAGTTAAACAAAACACTAAATAATGGAGCAGCWGTGCTGCAAGCCGTTCTTTTTTTAAACCTTAACCAGGCATGATGCTCAAACAGGTCATTACAAACTGCATCAGGTCACTTCCTGAAAGGATCTTTAAAAAATTTGGACCTTTACATGAAAGGGCAGGGCAGACACACCCCGCAGAGGAATCAGGTGGAGTTGAACTATTGTTTTTTTACTTTTATTTTCCCCCACTCTCGTAAACAGGCTGCTTTGAATAAATCTATAAAGTCACGATGACAGGAATGATTGTTGTATCTTAAATCAAAGCGACGAAATTCTGATTCTTTTAAGCCGGACGCCTGGCRTACGACGTGAACCCCGACAGGAAGGAGCTGAAGGTCGACGTGTCCGACATGCTCGAGGACCGAGACTATCATCTCCGCCTCTGCCTCAAGGATTTCATCTGCCTGGGCACAGGAGCTCATACTCTGGTTAGACCTCATGTTGGATTAAACTCTGCTCCACTCTCATTGGTGTTGGCTGATTTCTCCCCACCGCACCTTCTTTTAAACTAGTGACAAAGCTTTTGAGATGGACCTAAGTTTAGATCGCCCACATGATGACTCACGGCTTTATTTAGACTGTGAGTCTGAGGAAAAGTGAAGCTGTTTAAACTCAAGTTCAATCCATGTTTGTGTCTTTGTTTCAGATAAAAAAGGAGCAATCCCTCAAGAGCGCCGTTCTTCCGTACGCCCGGCCTTTGCCCTGCCTTTGCATCGAGGTACAGTTTTGTTTATGGTACAAGTATTAGTAATAAATTCTGTTCAAGGGAACAAAGCTCTCATGCGCCTCCTCTTGCTTTCTAGGGTTGGTCAGCAGTGACGGACGCCCCCAGAGTCCAGGTCTGCCCGTTCAAAGACCGTGAGTACAGCGAAGAAATAAAGTTATGTAATGTATCGCGTCGGCTCTTAAAGATTGGGGTTTYCCTTCCCGACAGGTCAGGAGGAACTGTGGTTTGGAATTACCTTTGACCCACTGGAGGAGACGCTGGTGTGGGAGCCTGAATGTCACGTCACAGCTGTGGTCGGGCTGTGCCAGAAAAAGGAGGACGGGAGCTGCGTGGATCTGCCTCACTCATCGCAGAATGTCGGCAGAAAAAAGGTACAAAGTGTCCTTTAAAAAAAAACAATCCTTTATTACRTCAAGCGGTGAGCCACCCTTAAAATGAAGTAAGGCTGGTGTCTTTTTAAGTCCCAGATTAGTCACAGCTCCTTACAGATTACCTTCTGGTGACACTTTATCTCCTGGAAGATGATAGAAAGGATCAATCCCATGGTTCTGCAGGTGGAAAATATTTAGTTTCCCTTACGTAAATTCAGTCCAAACACTCTCAACTTCCTGCTCGCATCCCTCACACCGCCAGTGATGTTAAAATGTGTCATTTTCCATTTTACAGTGGCTCAGCTGTATTACWGTAAGCTTCCCTGTGTTCCATAAACTCCAAGTAAAAATCCAAACGCGTGTTTAATCAAGTGATGTGAGGCGGAGACAAATAATCCTCGCTGGCTTCCAGCCCAGGGCTCGTCACCTGAGAAGGGAATTCTGTGTTAGTCTAAAAATAACCCGTGACGCAGGTGATCTTCCACCGAAGAAATCGCAACAAAGCGGCCCCGTTCTTGTTTTTATAACAGAACCGTTYTGTTTGTTTAATCGGTTAAAAAGAATAATTCAAATATGAAAAACCTCGGGTGTTTTTGTTGTTTTTCAGGTGACTTTTGCAGCGGTTGATCCCCACCCTCAGATGTGCGTGAAGGTAAGGATCAGTTCTCCCCCATCGGACATTAAACACACAAAAAAATGACATCATGGCTGTAACGCTWCCTGTTTCACCAAAACCTTCATTCATGATTTCACAAAGATGTGATAATGCTCAGAGGATGACTCAGCTACTACCACACCAAATTAGCTGAGTCATAGCCAACCAGCTGCTTAATTAACTTTGTTTTATAGAGAAATTTCACACTGAATTTTAAAAGGTTTGCACATAAAGCTACAAGCTAGCTAAGTTAGCGGCCTGCGGTGGAAATGATGAGGCTTCGGATCATTTTGRCCTACGGGCAGCAGGAGGGTTGATGTTAGTTTGACTCTGAATCTGCTGGTGTTTCTACGTCTTTTTAAACAACACGCATCAATAAAAGTGCTTAAAATGTAGAGTATACAGCAGAGTTATTAT